TTAGGAGGCGCTATTTCACTGTCAGGGGGGCTAGGGCCTGGAACCAGCTTCCAAAAGAAGTGGTGCTGGCTCCTACCCTGGGGGTCTTTAAAAAAAGGCTGGATGAACATCTGGCCGGGGTTGTTTGACCCCAGTACGCTTTCCTGCCATGGCAGGGGATCAGACTAGATGATCTCCTCAGGCCACTTCCAACCCTAGCCCCTACAAACTATGAAACTATGAAACTATAAAGAAGCTGCAGTGTCTCTTTCCTTCAGATCCTCAAGCAGCAGTCCAGAGGGGAGCATGCTGGCCCACGGAGGGGCCGGCTCTGACTCTGGCTATGGCTGCAGCTCTGATTAGTGCTGTCTCTCCTTTTGTGAGAGCCTCCCTGCCCTCACTCCCAGCCCCGGCAGCCTGACGTCACCCTCTGTGGATTTCAATGTGCATTTTCTGGGCTTGCAGCCGAGTGTCGCAGATGCCCCCCCTTTCTCTCTCCTCCTTCCTGCCCCCCCCACCACCGGACCAGCCTGGCCGGGTTTGCAGCAAGCTGCTCCATGCTGGCTGGCACCGCAGACTCAGCAGCAGCAGAGTGGCAGGATGGAAGGGGCTGCCTGGTGATTGCCTATATAGAGGGGCTTGGGCGCAGGTGCTGGGAAGTTGCTGAGAAGCATGGAGAAGCACTGGTGCTCCCAAAAGGACAGCTGGGGTTTCCTGTGCATAGAGATTTGCATAGGGTTCACTCAGCTGCTCTTGCACACATCAACCCACACAATCAAATATCTGCATTACACCGGCAGTCCCATGCCAGTGTAATGCAGATGTGGCAAAAGTAAAAGATCTGTCCAGGGAGACTACAAGAGACATGATCACTGGGACTTCCAGACACCCAGGCACTAGAGCAGGCAGGCTGTGTGCATTTAAGGCCCCTGTGGCCACGGGACCTCATTCTAACACAGGGAACACGCACTCTCATGCACAAACACACTAAGACTTTCCCACTCACAGGCATGTACCTATAGGTGAACAGTTGCCCTAACTCAAGTGCACACACACCCAGCCTTACACAATCATGTACACCCAGCTTTGCACATGCTAGTGCCCTTGCACACACTGTCCTAATACATACCTATATAGACACATGGATTCACTCCCACCTGAACTTGCATACCAAGGGCTTCTTCCATGTGCGTGAGCACCCACCCATGGGCTCACATGCTCACATACACACCAGCTGAGCCCTGGCTTTGTCACTTGCACTTCATGCTCTGGAATGACTCAGAAATGGCTTCTACAGAATGTGCACTGATTTGGCCACTTCAGTTTAAAAGCACCTTATATCCACTTAGCAGACTGGATCAGGCTCCATTGATAAGGCTATGCTCTAACTGACCGGCTCCCCCAGGAGCCATCAGTTCAGTCAGTACACTGACTGCGTCTTGACCAGACCCCATCAGGCCAAACAGCTGGAACCAGGCATAGTGGGTCAGAGAACACACTACTTGTTCCCAGCCTGGCCCAGAGGGAGACGAGACCAAGCCAGCCAGGGGCAAGCCTATGTCCCACCTTGGGAAGGGGAGGATGGGCAATCCAAGGGCTGTAGTAGACTGGATAGGAAGTGTCATGGCTCAGCACTGTGAACTATCCATGCAGGGAAAGGGAAACTAGAGTGAGAGCAGGAGGGACACTGGACAACCATTCCCTGGTCCAGCTGCCCCCACTGACCATGCATGGTTTGGTTAGGGATGATCCTGCCTCAGGCAGGGGGCTGGACTAGATGACCTATAGAGGTCCCTTTCAGGCTTGCTTCTCTGTGATTCTGTGATATGAGGCCAGGGGCCTTTGAATATTGGATTGTCCTTTTCTGCAGACCTCGGGGCCCAGCTCTGAGATGCTGGGCACCCTTGTGAACATTGTTGGGAGCTGCAGGCACTCAGCATCTCTCCAGATCAGGCCTATATGTAAGCTTCTGTAGCCTACTGTCCGGGGAAGTGGGACACACAGCTCCCAGGGAATCGCAGCAGCTTGTCTTTGTAGAGTGCCCTTCACATCCAAGCAACTGGCCAGGTTAGGGGGATCGGCCCTTACCATCCACCCTGAGCTCCTGCCTGAGCTCCAATTACAGCTGGCAGTTTTGGGCCTTCTGCTGAGCGGGGCAATTTGCTTGGCTGTAATGTGAGCTCCCCTTGTTCCCTGACCATGCAGGGTAAATTCACTCTCCCTCCACTTTCTGAGAAGGGCCTGAACCCCAGTCTCAGAGACTCCCTGACCTTGGGTAAAGGCCCCTGCCATGAGCCCATCTTTATTATAGCATGAAAAGTCCCAAGAAGGAGCTCAAGGGATGAGTTTTCAAAGGAACCTGGTGGCTTTTGTACCTAGCACTGTGCCCTCAGGTGCCTGAGCCCTCAGGGAGTTTAAGGGAGCTACTACTGCTCACGCTACCACTCTCCCACAGCTGAAGAGGTAGAGAGGCCTATGCCACAGGAGAAGGGGTCTAGTTCTTCCTCACTCAGCATGTGTGGAAGCTATGGTCTCTCCTATCTGCAGCCAACAGATTTATTGGGGTCTTGTGAACATGTCATTCAGCTTCTGCCCCCAGGTTTGTGCTGGCAAGGAAAGGAGCTGTGCATAGAAAAAGAGAGATTGCGTGACTGAAGCAGGCATGCCGTGTGCCTTTGCTCCTACACTGGTCCCCACGGGAGATGCAGGTACTTCTTGGGCAGGCAATTTGTTTGTGACTCTTCGGGTTGAGTGTGCAGCATGTGCCATCTTTTGTGTTGTTAGCAGAGACTTAGCACGGGGGGGGGCCTGCCTCCTTCTCCATGGGCCCAGGGGGGCAGTCAGATGCAGGGCAGAAGCCTCTCTCTGGCTGGGAGAAGGAAAGTGGATGCTGTGCAGTCTCGCCTGCGAAACAGCCATCTCTCTAGCACTAAGGCTAAGTGCTGCACGAAACAGCAGGAGACTCATCTGAGCTGCGAGGGCCCCCTAGGGTTAGGAGCTGCAAAAGAGGCCTGCTTAGTTCAGTTCCACGTGCTTGTTAAGTGTGACAGGCTCCACCTTTGGGATGTTTTCTGTAGAGGCAAATGTCCTGGAGCTCTACAACTTGAGCACTCAGAGCTCTCAGCAGAGCTCAGCTCTGCAAGGACATGAGCCATAGTCGCCCCACATGAACAGGCCACTGATGCTTCCATATGAAGGAGCCCTCCCCCCTGAGCTTGTGGTGACCCCAATGCTCTGTGGGAGCAAAGGGGGGCACTATGGCCAATTCAATAAAGAGAACCAGCCCGCTTGAGTCAGTGCTGGATGCAGTGCCTCAGTGCTGGGGGACTCTGCTGCTGGAGATCTTTGGGAGGATATACTGAAATGACATCCCAACCTCGGGTGGCCATTAAATATCCCCTGGTACTGTTATCAAGAGGAGACAGTCACCTCAGTTCCCTGCCCAAATCCCAAGTGGCTGGAAATCTGCCCTGCATAGCCAGCTGGAGCTGGAATCTGCCTTCATACAAACGGTTGCCATTACGATTTTGGAAATGAGTGCCATGTCTCCCCCCAGAGGCAGCTGCATTTCACCATAAAATGATTGTTGTCAATGCTTTGTGGGACTCCAGGATATAAGATACTAGGGAAACAGAAGATACTTGACCAGGCTTCTCTTTATGATTTGATTTATTTCAAGGCCCTGACAAAAATTCCCAGTTCACCATACAGTCCACCCCAGCCTGAGCGCTCCCTTGATCTCATCTATCTCTCCCCTGCCTTTCTGCAGAAGCTCCCCTCTTTGAGCACCATAGACTGCTCAGGAAGAGGGGGCCCATCAGAGATTGCACAAGCCATATTTTCACATAGGCACAGATGAGTTCTTTATGGTTTGGAATTTGCTGCTCCACTAATTTTGTCATCTCTTTGCTTTGCTGTTGCAGGGATTGATTAATGCACTGGCCCTGGAGCCCGGGCCCTGGGGCCCCTGCCAATCAGAGGCTTCCTGGGGAATGGAGCAGGGACCCGCCATGCTCCCCATCCTGCAGGGGAAAGTCCTGTGAAGTACTGGAACTTGTCTGACTTCTCCATGGGGATGGTCAGGGTGAGGTGGCAGCGAGGATCCCTGCCAACCCTGCCACTTACTGCCCACCTGATCTGTCTCTCTCTCATCCCTGTGCCTGGAAGGAGCCTGCTCCTGCCCTTCCTCCCTCCCAATAGTCAGGTCACAGGGCAGGCAGATGGCTCACGACAGGCTGCCGTGCCGCTGAGGGTGGGTGCAGAGTGTGTGTCTGTATGCAAGTGTCTGTGGGGGAGTGTGTTGCGGGGGACGCAACCCCAAACTGACCCCAGACCACACCAGATCCCCCTGCAGGGCAGCACGCAGTTCTTTAGTCCTGCTGCCAAGGGCTGCTTTGGGGCACAGAGAAGGGGAATCCCACTGCCCCCGAGATGCTTCCTGAAGTTCTTGACCCCAAATAAGGCTGCTGATAGAGGTGTCTGCATCTCTCCCGAGTGATGGCAGCTTGTTTGGGGAAGTGTGAGCTCTTCCAGGGGTTGATTAGATACAGCTCTGTCTGTCTATCTGTCTGCCTAAAGAGATACATTATATAGAGAAAGAAAGATTGTGTATATGTGTGTATGTATGTATACATCTATATAGATATCTATATAGAGAGAAATACAGGTATAGAGAAAAAGAGAGAGATCGTGTGTGTATATATGTATATATATATCAATATATCTATACATTTTGGTTACATAATTATTTGATGGTGGCATTAAAACACAGGTGTAATGGGTATATAAAAGAGAGAGCTTTACAGTATATGAAGTTTAGCACAAATTTAATGTTTCAGGAAAGATAAAAAAAATTCGAGACGTATTGTGTAGGCCTTCTGCTTTATTTTAATTGCAAGAATCACTAACGGTATTCTTAGACTCGTACTCAAGGTAGGTATGGTCTGTATTTTTCTTGTAGTAGTTTACTGTAATGTAGGTACAATGTAAAATATGTATTAAAAATAGTTAAACAAGAGTCTACATGACCACTAAACTAAAACATTTTTCCTCTCGTGTTATTATATGTTTATGGCAATCCCATGCATCTTAGTCATTTTCCTAAGGCAGTTGTTTTATTTAGTTTTGTGTGTGCCAAATCTGAGTAGTTAATTTTGACATCGCATGTTGTCCTTTATTTATTAATGCACTGTGTAAACATTTAATGGGTCTATTTATTAATGCTTTTTGATACATTCATGTTTATAATGGAGGATGGGGGGCCTCCAATGTTCTGTTTGCCCAGGGCCCAAATAAATCTCAATCTGCCACTGCTGTTTGTCCTGCATTTCAGGAACCCTTCCCTCCTTCTCCCTTCCCCCCACCGCACCATGCCTCACCCTCCTCCAGTAACTCAGGCAGGTCTAAGAGGAAGATGCACCAGGAAGACAATCCATCAGCTCAAATATCACTGAGTTTTACAGAGACACGAGGAAAAAGAGATGCAGAAAACGATTGACCTTTCAAACAGTCGCGTTCTTGGGTTCCCTCCCTCGTCTGGAAGCTCCTCACTCTCCACCATAACCTTCTCTTCTCCATCCCTGCATTTATTTAGAAACACCATCAATAATTAAGAGGCTGCCAGTGTGCTCTGCTGCAGCACTGACAGGTCTCTCTGCTGTTTCCTGCTTTCAGGCTGGCCCCTTTAGTGCTTTAGGCTTGTCATTTTCTGGCTGTGTCTTATCAGAAAGGTAGGATTAATCGGCCTGGAACAGACCCTGCCTATTCCCTCTTACCAGGAAGACCCCTCCAGCCTGCTAGCTCTCCTCTTGCTCTCCCTGGACTAAGCAAAGCCGGGAGCCACTTAGTCCTTACCCCTACCATAGATAGCAAAGCAAATCAAGAGTCTGTCTAGTCTGGTTTCCCAGCTCATGTTGCACTGGCTCACCACTGCTGTAGAGAGTCCACTCCTCAAGATGGCAGCTCTCTTGCCCTGCATCAGTACAGCACCTAGCACAGAGGAGACCTGACTAGCAATTAATCCACTGGGTCCTACACCAGGTCAAAGGGATGGCCTTACAAGGCTGGCATCCTGCCACCGGAAGTAGTGGAAAGGCCCCAAAGACATATCATTGTCCAGTTGTGTTACAGGGAGATTCCTTCTATATGTCAGTGTATGTCACCAGTTCCTGATATCAGGAAAAGCTTCACTGTTAGAACAGTGGAACAGACTGCCTAGGGAAGTTGTGAACTCTGCATCATTGGAGGTGTTCAAGAAGAGGTTGGACAGCCACTGGTCAGGGATGATCTAGGTGTAACTATGTCCATGATCTACTATGGATCTTTCCCATGCTTCTGGGATTTGTTGGTTGCCCTCTCCTCCCCCACACTTTTGCTGCTACATGTGTTGGGGTGTTTTTAAGCCTTCCTTGGAGGCATTGGGTGTTGGCTTCTCTCTTGGGGCAGGGGCCAGCCTGATCCAGACAGGGGCTCAGAGATGGAGAAGGTGAGGGAGGTGGCTTGGTGTAGTGAAATGAGGCCACTGCACTCCTCAGAGAGAGCAGCCTTCCTCCCATCCCAGGATGAGCTCTGGTATGGACTGTTGGATCTTTTGCAACCTCTACAGTGGAGGGCATGACCCTCTACCTGGGATCTCTTGAGAATATCTTAACAACCTTTTATAGAAGCAGGTGGCAGGTGTGGGTATTATGTCTGTGTTGTGTCAGGGTTGATGGTAGTTTTATGAAGAGTTTAGATAATGGATTGCATAGGATGGTCTGGATAGGGATGATTCTGCCTCAGGCAGGAGATTGGACCTCTGGAGGTCCCTTCCAGCCCTCATTCTCCATGATTCTATTGACCCAGTGCATTTATTCCAGTATAATTGCAGGTATAGTGGGGAGGGGGCTGATATGTAGACAGGTGCATGCCATCCTCATCCATTGCAATGTCTGAGCCTTTTGATTTCTGCTGAGCCATTTGCTTTGACTGTATTCTGCAGCAAGGAGTCCCACAGGCTCACTGCACATTGCTGGGAAAGCTGTGCCCATCGTCTGTGTAAGTGGGTGCCTGTTCATTCCATTGAGTGGATTCTCATGTCTCTGGCACTGACTATGTACCAAGAGATCTGTTTTCAGAAGCAGCCCCTCCACCTCGGCTGGCAGTGGCCACCTTTATACCAGCCCCTCAATACTGCATGCATGAACCCAGCCCCACTGAAGGTCTATGGATAGCAATGGGGTGGGGGCTGAGTGTGCTGGGGTGAATCAAGCAGGCCAGCTAGAAAATGGGGCTAAGTTGCATTAAATATTTTGGGAAAAGGAGCTTGTATTTTAAAGCATAAGGGATATGGGGGGCTGTCAGCACTCCTGCCCCTGGAAATCAGCCACACTTTCCTCTGTGGTGCTGGAGAGAACACTGCAGAGAAGGCTGGAGAGGACACTCCTCTCTCACCAGGAAAGCATCACCAGGACCTCCCAGGACCTTGTCATTTCTGGCTGCTAGGGCTGTGGGTGTCACAACTCAAGGGTGTGATTTTGTTTGTGTGCGCTTCGGCACTGCTAAATTATTTCCCGCCACCAGGAGCTTTCTTTGCAGGGTGCATTTCTTAGTTGCAAAGAGAAATGCACGGTGCAAAGGAGTTCCCGCCATTCACATGCAAATTTGTGTCCCACTATTGGCCAGTTCTAAATTATTCCCACGTGGCGGCTAGCGATTGGCTGGGTCGCCGCGAAAAAAGGTTTTTGCGTTTCCGCCCAAGTTGGAGAAAACCCAGCGCAGGCTATAGGGGT